TTCTTGTAGCATTTGACTTGGAAGGAAAAAAGTTGTTTTGCACCAATTAAAACCAAGAAAAAGGCAAGTTCATTACTTCAGAGCATTCCATAGCTTTCTAACAAACTGATGGGAGATTATAGAGAGAAGGAAAAAAAAAAGTAGAAATGGATTTTATCTTTTACTTTTTGAGAAACTGATTTTAGGCAGAAACGTGAAGAGATGCTAGTCTTTACAGAAGCTAAGTGTAAAGTTAAAACTCTTCCTAGGAACAAAACAAACCTCCCAAAGTGGGTGGTCTTTGTTGCTGTTTTGTTTTTTTGTTCTCCCTCCTTTCCCCCATCAACTTCATGGTTCTTGAGCATTTTTAAATGCAACAGTAAGAGCATTGGAAGTCAAAGCTACTGTCTTTGTGAAAAGTGCTCTACTGATCTGATCTTTTTCATAAACTTCTAACTGTGCTCACTTTCCATTCAAAGGAATAACTGAACTGCTTTTTCCCTAAATGCTGTTAAAATTCAGTTATTTTGACTTGGTGAAAAGTTCTTCCATAAGCAAGCATTGTATCTTAACAGTGTACTCCAGTCAGTTACTGACTTCTGTTGATATACATTACTTTCCTATTTGCAAGTCTGACTGATTGGGTGTTCTGCACTTTTTGCATAAACCGTCCTCTATATTAGGAGTTGAGTACAGAGCACCATTTTAGAGAACTCTACATGCAGGGACTTGCTTGGTCTCAACAGTTGCACAGGGAGCCAGTGGCAGAGTCAGTCAGTGTAATGGGGCATTCATACCTTGTGCTTTACATGCTAGTCCAAGTCTCTTGGATGATCATTGCCAAATCAGAGAAATAGTTCACCTGAATGCATGATATACTAAATACAATTGATTGTACTCTTCAATAGTTGATGCTTGCCAACTCTAATCYGCTTTATCTCATCAAAAATACCAATGTGTACTTAAATTCATAGTACTCTATTCTAAAAACTGTGGCTGTCTCTTAATTGGTGTGGTTATGAGAGGGCGGGATGAGACAAACCCTGGCTACAAGAACATTCACTGAGGTGCTGAGATCAGAACCCCCTGRGCAGAGCCAGCAGGAGTAGCTGTGGCCGAGCACGAGGGCTCTCTGCTCTTGGCTGCAAGGTAGCTCACACAGAGCCCTTTGAGTGTCTCYTCGTGTTAACCCACCCGCCCCGTAGGCCCGAGCTGACTCTGTGGATTGCCTTCTGAATAACAGGAGGGTGAGGTCTCTCRCCGATTGCTTCACGGAGTAACAAAGATTTGAATGCTACTTTATCGTAAGTGATGCCATGCTTTGAACCTCCCCTCATTTTTTCTTTTTGTATTTTAACCTATTTTCATTTTATTAGTGTGAAATTCTTCATTATTCAGGGTAGTAAAACTCCAGTAGTGGATGCAGTCTAGAGTTTAAAGAGGGTCCAGGCTGATGCCTCTAAATGCCTTCCAAACCCAGTAGAGAAAGCCCCCATTTTCCAATAAGACAAGATATCTAGTCAGACCAAAATTATTTTTTATTTATGATTCTGCCTTCAGACTACTACCTGTTAGCACTGGTTTTGGTGGAAAAGGCCTTTTGTAACATTTCCCAGTTATAGCATAACTTCTGCAGAAAAGTTCAACGATGCTGAATTAGACTTCTAACATGAGTGTCATGTGTACGTTTTTCCTTAAACAGTAACAGTAGCTGATTATATATCACGAGCTGAATCTCAGAGCAGACAGAGAAACCCTCCAAAGGAGACTCTAGCCAAAACCAAGAAAGAAACGGTAAGGGGGGTTTAATGTGTTTSCTTTGCTTCTCTCTCCCCGTGCAGCAGTGCAGAACAGTAAAGAAGTGTTTGGCCTGCATGCAAATAGTGCTGCAGTTCAAAAATAAATCATTAAAAGCAAACATGGCGAAGAGAAAATGGAACTGGGCAATGACTTGCAGAATATCAATGCAGACTTTTAGTAACTGGTGTAATTGGAGGTCCTTTTTCCAGCATAATGTATTGACTGATGTAGTAGTACTACAGCATAAACTGTGAAAACTAATAACAGTCTCACAGGCTGAGTCTGGAGTCAACCCTAAAAATGTCTTATAGAGGAAAGTGGCAAGCAGGTGTGATGTGCATAAACTATTTTGCCAACACTTAATATTACAAAGATTTTATGTTTGAAATTTAACCTTAAAATGAACAAGTGGCGTTACCTGTCACTAAAAATATTTGAAATCAAATAAAACAATTTTTGCTAGATGTTATTTTTGAGTTCAGCAAAATCTAAGAGTCTGTGTTTGACTGTTAACAGAAGTCTAATCTTACCACATTAAAAGCCTATTTACAGTATAAAATTCATTTTCTAAGTTAACTTCATTGTCATAAAGAAATGGAAATTGTGAGTAAAACATTCTTGGGGTGCCCTGTCTCCAAATTACCTTGGTTTGCTTCTTGCAAAAGGGTCTGATACTGAAGTGTCCTAGAGATGGTAGGATATGGGCACAGGTAGAAAATGGTTGTCTCCTATTGCAGAGATGCTGGGGGGGCTGTGAAATTGGGTCATATTCTGCATCTTTATTGGAATTTTCATATCGTTTTCTTTTTGTTTTGCAAGGCAAAAGAGGTGATTGATGAAAACAGCCCTTCTGAAAAGGCAGTGAATGGTCCTGCTACAACTGCTGGCGATGAACCTTCTAAACTACAGCACAGCCCTGATGAAAAGAAAGTTACAGTACAAGAGGAGGGGAATAATCAGGAAGAAGCAGTGCTGAATGGTGTTTCATAAACTGAAGTTCCTAGTTTACAGTTCTTTTACATTACATTTAAAATAGTGCTTGTATAAGCTTGCCAAAGATAGAAATACGGATCGCCAGTCTTGACACCGCACTTTCAGTTCCTCCATTTTGGAATACAGAAAGGGGAGGGATCCTGAAGAAATCATATGTTAAACATACTTTGACACCTACTGTGTTATAAATATATCATCAGATGTGCCTTGAGATAGTATATGTAACATTTAAATAAACAAAATTGCTGGCTATAGGAAACGTTATTTTGTTTTCAAAATATGGCAGAGATGTGAGGGGGATCCCTAACATAATACTCTTTATGAAAGCATTAGCTGCTTTTGTTACATTTTTAATAATATGCAACCACTTCTTCACCTGAGGAATACTAGAAAGAAATGCAGTCTAAARTATTTTGCACTGAAATGTAATTTCTCCATTAGTCTAGTCTGGAAACTGGTCTGTTTTAATACATGTTTTTTAAATGCTGTATGTAGAGGAAAAATCTGCAGACCACTGGAATACATTTGTTAAATTCTCATAATCTGCAGGGATACTGGGCGACATTGGCAGTGACTGTTCTACATTGAGGCTTTGTTTGGTTTATTTATTAAACTGTACAGTATTTAAAAATCAAACATAGCTTTAGTTAACACTAAGCTGAATTAGTCATGTCCATTAAGACATAACCTGAACTACTGAAAAGATCAATTTCCAGAAAGTTTATTCTGTATAAACTACATATGTTAGTCCTTAGTAGAGTATTTTTATTTTTGTTTTGGTTGTTTGATGTGCAATATGGTTTTTTTTTGTATGCTGGTAGTAAAAACAAAAAAAAAATAAACTTTGATCTTCCATATGTTGACTGTTTCTATTACAAATTTAAATTACTATTTACTTAAGACTTTCAAGCTGTTGACATTATTGAAATTTGTTTGCCAGGCAGCTTGAAGTTTTAATGGTTTTAGAGTTTTCTTTTTTTTTTTATTTTGTTTTCTTATTTGTTTGTTTTTCTAATACAGTCACCTTCCATTCTTTATGGTGATATTGCAAAGTATCAGTTAATCTACCTGAAACTTTATTTTTTATCTTGGAAAATTGGGTGACCTGACTAACATACGTAGAAATAACAGATATTTTTATTTGAGAAGCTAGAATCAGAACAAACTAACGAATATTTTCAGTTCTGTGAGCAAGAACCTGACATAGAAAGCACAGATGCAAGGAGGAAAGAAAGAAAAAGACAGGAAGCAAAAGGTAGGTTATATTGTAAGAAGCCTTAGAAGACACAAGCAGAGCTGAAATTGTACTAACACGGAGGGGAGGAGGGAGAATCTTACCTGATGCGGTCAAAAGTGAGTTGAAAAACTTAAAAAGCTTAAATCTGATTCCTGGTGTCCCCAAATAAAACAGGTAACTTTATCAGAATGAACCACATGTAACTTCAGCTGCTATGTGATAAGGGTAGAGGAGGAATGTGCCACCTAGTTTTGAGTCTTAATTCATTTAAGAAGAGGTACAGTTTTCACTATGATTTAAGTGCTGAGACCCACTTTTTTTCTCATGGAGAAAAAAATGCAGTTAAATATTTTATGCCTCAAGTGAACATCACCTGTTAAATAGGCAAAAGAATTATGTTTGAAAATGATCAGCTTGTTGGAAAGAATCTACTTGAGTAGTTTGGTAATTCTGTATATACCTTGAAATGTGCATTGTTCTGCTGTACAGCAATGTTCTGCTTCCCCCTCCACCCCTGATAGCTATTTTCCCCTTTTGTCGTAGAGTTCTGTAGTAAAGCCCCTAGATTTCCCATCCTGTAGTTCTTAAATACTTCAAACACAAATAGTCTGAAATGATCYGAAAGGGTTTGAAAGTCAAGGTGTGCAGTTAGGCTGTTAGCTAACCTGCCATAGAGCAATTTTTTCTCCTTTGCAAGAACATGGACATGATATTTTAAGAATGACAGAGGTCTTTGGCATTGGTTTTAGTTTATGGTTGCCCCTTGTAGCCCACTAAAAGGTCAGCTATCTTAAATAGGAAACAGGAAGTTTTAACTAATATAACTTTTCATGAAGTTATGAGTATAAAAAACTCAGCATGTAAATTCTGACTGTGCTGTAAGAATTATAAAACTACCATATTTATATTTACAAATTTATAATTTATTGTTACAAAATGAATTAAAAAGTGAAAGTTTCTAGAAAACTTGGCACACTCCASATCATCAATAACAGGAAGCAGTTGCACAGCCTTGTCTTCACGAGGCCTGACAACTGAATACATTCAGTATCTTAAACTTTGATTCCTTGATTGAGAACCAACCCCATAGCTATGCTTATTATTACTAGCTCTGTAATTAAAGCTCCTTGATTCCTCCCACAATTCCCACAAAACTCTGTTTCTGGCAGACTTTCTTCATCAGTATCCTCAGCAACTGCTCACTTTGGCATACTGAAGAACAGCAGCATGAACTGGGCCTAGTTCTTAATAAGCTAGTGCGGCTTTAGGAGCATGTCCATCTGTAGCTGGTAGCATGTGAGAATCMCCGTCCAAGTTACTGGTATCTTATATGGTGCTAAGTGGTAGATTTTACTTCAGACAAAGAATAGCTTAAAAAAAAAACCCACCTTGTAAGCCTCCACTCCCTCATGTTCCTCCCCAAAATTGACTAAATGGATGAGGAGGGGAGATATCCCCTGGATTTTTTTTTTCCCCAGTCTTAGTTGGAGGAATCAAGTCAAAGASTAACATTGCATCTTTGAGTAATTTATCAAAAATACTCTTTTAAATGAGCCAACCCACTGAATTATCTGCTATGTTCATTTTTTAGCTTGATCTTCSAGTAAATCCTTAGCTTCGTTGATTTTGGCTGCCACGTATGGAGAGCCACCTACAARAAAGAGAATCTCATGTCATATTAGAGTGAAAAAATACCCTTTATTTGTGTGTCATTACTAGTGCTATATGATGCAGTGAAAAGGTGTGTGACTATTGTTCAAAAGGCCTTCAAKTTAAGGAACAGATTCCATTATCCACATAAGTCATTTGTAAAGACTCCAGGAGTTAATTGTGTACTCATTCCATTAACTCATTCCTGTTAGGTTCTTACTTTCCTTTTAATAGAGTTTAGCTTCRTTTTTATCAATCATGACTTAACAGAAGTAACTTGGCAGAATACAGGTGCACCAAAATCATTCATCATGAGATGTGCAGAATTCTGGCATGTACTAGAAACTTCAGTTTAACTTGTTTAGGTAAAATAAGAACAGGGAACGTGTTCATAAGAATCTGCAAGTACTTAAGACTCTTCAAGTACACAATATCTAACTGAAGTTATTTTGCAGTTAAGCTTATTGAATATACATAGACCCCAAAACTATCTATAAAGAAGCATATCTCAATTTCTGTAGTCACTTTAAAGGAAGCTATTTCAAGTGAGGATTTGAAAGTTAAATGCCAAGCACTAATACCTGATTCTGACTCACTCAAGTTAACAATTCAGAAACAGGTATGGATGTCTTTAAGCAAAAATAGATTATAAGCCTTCAGACTTATGCAGCAGAACTGCAGAGCATGTTTCGTGCCTTCAACAGTAGCAAAAAGCCCACAGAAACTCTCCAATGAATCCAAAGAGAATTCACATGATAGAGAAGACACAGAAACATATACTGGTCTAGCATTTAAAATTACTGTCTTTTAAGTTTCATTCTAAAAAAATGAATCTYATTTTCATCTGATATACACAAATAATAGAGCATGTAAGAAACCTGCCAAACTGCGTGTGCTTGCTTCAGAGCGTTCAAATATATTCTTCAGAAGCACATGGGCTGAAATGCTCCAAGATTTTACACTTTTTTTTTTTTAAGCAGAGAAGTAACCATGTTTATTCACTGCATAGGTGAATAATCTGGGTCAAAAACATTTATTAGGTGAAGGATTTTTACTTACCTTTATCGGGATGATTCAGAAGCATGATCCGCCTATGAGCTTCTCTAATTTTATTTCTATTGGCTGTAGGACTAGTTTAAAGRAAAAAAAATTGACTTGAAGGAATCCTATAAACCTTGAAAGCAATCTCTTGCCCATCCACTGAGGCTTTACATCTTTATTTGCTATTAGTGATATTTAAGCATGCAAGTCCTGAAGAAGGTTTCTAAGGTTTATTCAAAATACCATAGATATATGGTGTTTTGGAAAATAGAAGAAGACATTCTGTGGTGGTCTAGTAAGGTGGGGAATATTCACTGACACTTAGAGATCATAAATAAATAAATAACAGGGCTAGGGGCAATATATTTATAGACCATCCAGGTATCAAATGAGCTCCTTTTAAGTTAAGTCTCATTTATGCTGGSACTGCAGTAACTTACAATGGTTCTGCTATTCAGCTCCCACTGATACCTAGAACTGCAGCACCTCGCACACGCAGCTGCCAAGGGCAAAATCCCACAGCCAACTTGGTAACCACAGCACTGCCCATCCCCGAGGGGACCTGCTCTCTCACGTGCTGGGTGCCTCCATCCTGACCTTGCATGTTCAGTTGAAAACTAACAGAAGCCTGCTATAACATTTTTAATTGAGGCTGTACGCATTAGGAGAAATCAAAATTTTTAGAACACATTTTAAAAAAAAAAGTTGAATACAAACTTTSCATTTGGAAATAAATGCTCATTATCTTATTAGATAAACGTGTGTATGCATGTGCAAGAAGGCRTGCAGCCCCCCTCACACTGCATCTGATTTTCACCAGGAGGAGCAGCACAACCCCAAGCAGCACAACCAGCTCCCCACCCAAATAAACCCAAGAAAATGCCAGAAGTACCAAGACCCATACGTGGCGTGTGACCGTGCCCAGGATCAACAGCTGCATGGCAGCCCAATTACATTTAATTTAAARCACGCTACCACCCAGCAAAGAATCACAGAGAAGTGCAGAAAATCCTGCAAGTCTCCTCCAGATTTCCCGATTGGTGCAGGGAYGGGGTGACGGGTGGGAAGGGCACATTCCCAGGGAAAGCTTGCACAGGAGTCTTAAAACACAGGCCAACGGCCCCATTCAAGGCAGGCCAGCAATTTCACAGCACCACATCCTCCTTCATACCCTACATTTCTAATAAATTTTCTTTTACCTTACTCCTAGTATTAAAGCTGCTTCTCGTTTAGTCATTTTGGGTTCAAATCCACCTCTGTAATAACCACTGAAGGTCTGAAAGGAAATATACGTTAGTTTCGTAAAAATAATTATGTATGTTAAACTACATTGAGCAAAACAAGTCAGTGATGCCTGATAGCTGCTGAACTTTCTAGTCTCTGAGAATATTGTGAAGTTCTTTTGAACAAGTCATAAATTCAGCTGAAGCAAAGTATCATTATTTAGCAAGCACTAGGCAAGATGTGACAAAGTCACTTCTCCCTTAATGGACCACACTAAAATTGAGATTAATTATATTACTACTGACAAAATTAKGCTTAGTATCAGCAGAAAATCCTTTAATACTATGCACAGATAAAACAGTCTGCTGTTATTGCACTGAACAAGCTCTTAAAAATAGATGCTATAGAAAAAACCCAAAAGCTTACAGATTTTGGTAGATTCTGCAGTGCTTGTTTCACTTGCGGCTCCATTTGCTTCATGGCTTTTAACACGTAGCGACCTTGAAGAAATCAGTGTTTAAAATGGCTTAAGTATTTAGAAACCTGGTAATTTTCTGATCGTAATACACAATAAAGCTATTTTTTGACCATAAGAAAACAATTAAAACTTTGTTTTAATCAGAGGCTGGTTTCTCAGGGCAGCCTCCCCCACGGCGGCTGCCCGCCGCGCACGGCCCGGCCGGGCCCCACGGCCTCCACCAACCTGCAAATCCAGCCGCCGCTATGGTCAGGCCCACTGCCACCATGGTGCTGGCCTGCGGGGAAAGCAGCGAGAGGAAACGCTTAACAGCGCCGAGAAAGACACAGATAAAGGAAGGAAGGAGGGAAGAGTGGGCATCGCTCCGCGCTGCTGCGCGGGGCCAACGCACGCGGSGCCGCGAGGCCCGGGCAGCCCCGCCGGGCCCCTCGCGCGGCCCGCGGAAGGACGCGGCTCGCGGCCGCGCCGCCTCACCATGGCGGACCCCGGGACGGGACCGGGCTGGCAGCAACACCGCTCCGCGCCGCGCAGGGCCCCGCGCCGCGCGCTCGGCACCAGCGGCTGTCGCAAAGCGGGGCGGGGCCGCCGGGGCGGGGCCGCGCGCCGCGGCGGCCGTTGGGACCGTTAGGACGGTTGGGGCGCTGCGCGCGCTGTGTGCGCTCCCGGMGGGAGCGAGGGCGGCAGGAGCGGGAAGAGCCCTAAGGCTGCTCGTTCCGAGCAGTGGGACATGGAGTGAAAATGCGGAGAATTTACACCCTCCTCTTCCCCGCAAAAACAGACAAAACACAAACGATCCCTTCAGTCCCAGGATGTCGTTTTTTTGCGCTCCCGGTGGAAGCCCCGACTCATCCCTTTAACGGCTCCTGCGGCCGCGCGGGGAGCAGCCCCCGGGCAAGCGGCTGCTGCTCTGAGCASAGCTAGTGCAAGGCAGGATCTAGAGAAGTGCAGGAAACGTGAAGCGACACCCGTGGTAAGGCTGGATGGGAAAATTGCAATTCTGTAGTGCACAGCGGTCAGAAACAGTGCAGTATTTCCACCTTTTTAAGAATTTTGARGTTTTCTATGTTCTTCATGTGAGTAGGTGGTTTCCGTTTTGATCTAGAGCCTTCTCAAACATCAGATGCACTTTCTACAGTTAGCACCTTTTTTCCTTTCCTTATTAAAGCACGTGTTCCATTTCAGTTTTATTTTAAACTTACGCTTTTGGGTTTGTTGGTTTGTTTTTAAACAACTACCCTCGTCCTTATTGCTCCSTCTTTTAATTCTGGTAATTCAGGCTCTCTCCCTCTCTCTGACCATCCCACTTAACTGTTAGCTCCGCTCTTGCTGCTCCGTTTTTGTTCCAGCTGCATTATCACCAAATTCGGGGAATTTGCACTCTAATGGAGGCTTCCCTGCCGTGCTGTCGCTGAAGGGGACTGACCACCAGGGCAGGGTGTCTAAATCTAATATCAGACACTGGAGCCAGATGGACACGCTCAGTTACTTGATTGTTCAAGATTACTACAAAATGAGGGAGAATTACAGGTCTGGTGCTTGTATTTGAATATTATTAATAATATAGTGTCATCTATTAATGACACAGTGTCAYATGCAACAAAATTGCTAAGTGTCCATCTGTAGGTCTGTTATAAAGCCACAGTTTTGGAGACTGGATAACTAAGCTTTGAGAACACGCAAACCGTTAGCTCTAAGTTACTGTTTCCAAGTGGCCACAACTCATACCTCTAAATTCCAGCTCTGAGAGCTAGTTGCAGAAGTCAGTAGCTTTAGTGACACCTTAAATTCTTGTCAAATGTGTCTTTATGAGCACCCAGGGAATCCAGCGATGAATACGAAGGCTGTGCTGTGCTTTTGCTACTTACAGTCTTCACGTCCAGCCTTACTGAGGGTTATGTTTACTGCACTTCTGTAGTGTCTGTCTTGTTTTTCCTCAGATCCCYAAGCTGTGTCACAAGCATGAGAGCTGAGCTTGGCTCTTGCAGTAGGAGATTCTCCTTTTCTCCTATGTACTTTAATGAGTGCTGAACTCATTTTGTGTATGTCATAATTTAAGTATGAGTTTGAATTGTTTTTGCTCTCTAAAATTTCCCCCCAAATTTCAAGATGTAGTGTATTCTGCAATGATGTTTGGAGGTGATCTCTTCCACCTCTTCTTTCTCTTTCCACCATCCAAATAACCTTACAAGAAAATAACCTGTTCACCTTTGAAGCAGGCAGCAGAAAGGTTGTGGTTGCTTTGGATGCTTGTACTGAGCAGCCTCACATGATTCATGAGATGGAAATTAAAGGAAACTTTTATATTTGATAAAGAATCAAATCTGTTGGCTGCAGATCGCAAAATCCCATAAGGATTTTTCAGGTAAGAAATTGGACTCCCATGTTTCAGAATAGCTGCTGATATTTATTCATGTTTTTCCCTGTGTGGTTTCTTTTCTAGGAAGCACTGAAGTGCCTAAATATGTTTTGATTGCACATGAAAAGTGGGCTGAGCTGGAAGTGGAAACAGATTAAACAATTTTTAACATAACACTTGCAAATGAAACATGAAATTCCTTTAAAACCTACTGTATCCCTTTTTGCCCCATGAGATAGTACCGACCTCACATCTTCCCAGAGCTCTGAGGCGTTTATGTTTCCATGTCACGGTTAGCAGGTGTGCCAGGTGGATAGCAGCTCTGCATCAGGGCACACACATCACACAGAATGAAGAAAGCTGATGTAAAGCCRGAGCTACAAGAGGCCACGTTTGCTGAGAAAGAGATCTGGGGAACTCCTATATACCTCATCATAGAAGATTATTTTTCTTTTGGAGGCTTCATCTTACTAGACTGTCCAGAGCAGGTGCTGTGTAGAACGTAGGCAAGCTTCTCCATTGGAGCAGAGCACAGCCCCAGAGATCTGCCCCTTTCTTGTAACAGCGTCTTCCACAAGTGCAGACAGAACCTGGAAYAGTTTTTTTTCCGAAGTTTTACCATTTAACTGTTACATATCTGTTGCATATAAATGTTCTATGTGAACATCTATTCATTTAGATGTGTTAAACATTTAAGTGAAAGTCATGGTTTTGTTTTGTAGTAGTTGTCATATGCACAACTGACCAAATCCTGGCACTTTTCTGTTGTCTGAGGCTGTAGCTTCCACTTCCTTCCCTTCCAGGCTCCTGTGGATGCAGCAGCTGAGCTATCAGGTGTTCGAAGGCTGGCAGATTTTCAACATGGGGCACCAAAATAGGGAATTTCATAGGCACTTTTTAACATTTTATCATTCTCAGATTTAGGAATATTACAAAATTATGGTCTAAGATATATATATTGTAAAACAATGTTTAGGAAAGGAATGATGCTATATTCCTTTTTGTTTTTTTTTCCTTTGCAAACCCTTTTTCCTACTTTTTGCCCGTATTCCATCTTCTTTGACTATGTCAATCTTCCAATTATGTGTTCCCCACCTCTTTTCTTCTTTTTCTTTTCAATGATCTTTTTTGAGACTCCACTATCTTTATGTGTCCTAAACATCTGTACGAGAACACAATGCTGCTCTGTCTTACCTGTGGCTAAATTAACTTGGTGATCGTAGCATCGCTTTGTCATTAAATTGATAATCATAATTATTAGAGCATAGCATGGATGACACTAATTATAAACTGGGATTCTCTCACTTGGGTAAGAATTGTTTTTTAAAGCAAACAAAGCAGGATTTCACTGCAATTTGACACCAAATACGAAGTGTGTGTGTGTCACATGTAGCATAATGATGCTCATAACGATTATAAAATAATTCCTCTGATTGCCTGTATGCTTTATTTAATTTCTTGGCTCAGGAAAAACACGGCTAAAATTGTTGAAAAGTAATGGAGGGGGCTTTACATGCAAGGAAAATACTCATAAAATTCCCTAGTGCTGGTCTAAGGGATACAGACTGAGATGCAGATGTGTTCTTCCGCAAAAATCTCTAAGGCTCAGTTCATTACCTATCTTTTAACTAATGTTGTCCTCAATTATGCCTCTTCTGTGTAGAAGAGTAATGAAATAATACTGACATACCTTGTACCAGGACCGTTAACATTATTTTTTGTATGATGTTGATTGTTATTCTTGGGTTTTCTATTCTCTTTGGATACTGCAGCTTCAGATTTGCAGAATCTTCCTCTCTTACCTGAAGATTACAATGAAAGTGTCAACACTCTCAGCTAGTAGGAAAAGCCGGACAGAGCGGATGGCAAAAGGAGAGGAAGGCGCAAGAAGAAAGAAGGGTGACAGCCAGAGGAGAAGSTGTAGTGGTGCTTCTCACCCGTGAGTCTACAAGGAGCTTTCTCTAGGCAGTGCTTTTCTGAGTAGATAGTAGAAGGTTTTGCATTTTTTAGGTGAAGATTGAAGTTTGAATGTGAAACTGTAGTGCACATGTTGGTGGTGGAATTTTTATTTTGCCCTTGATTTGTATGCTATGCTACTTTAAAAGGAGAGTGACTGGATTAGGTGGAGCCAAGGGTGGGGAAGCTCGTTCCTTTTCTTTGAGAGCACCTGAGGATGTTTAGGAGGGAAGATTCAGGACTGTAGGTAGAACAAGAGGGCATGAAAGAAATCCAGCAAGGAACAGGGAGGCTTTTGCTTGAGTGAGGACACTACTGAAAGCATCAGAGGGCAGGTGGGCAGCGCTATGGGCAATGAGGAGGAAAACTGCCTAGGGAGTGTGTAGGGATTGCTTCTACCCAAGCAGCCTTTGAATTTACTGAAGCCAGGCATGGAAAAAGAGGAAAATAAAATAGATTTGTTCTCCACCACCCCCTCATTCACCCTGTAAATAAACAGTGGACAAGAAATAGTTTGTGTATAAACTTTAAATCTTATTCTGTTTTTTTTTTTTTTTTTTTTTTTTTTTTTTTTTTTTTTTTTTTTTTTTTTTTTTTTTTTTTTTTTTTTTTTAGGATATTTGATGAAGGTGCTGTGGAAAGACTGGCACCTGTGAGAGAGCAGAGAATAAGTTGTGCCTGAGGTGCTGTAAGTTTTCATTCCTTCTTAAAATACATATATTTCTCTCTTACACTCTTCACTCCCTGGTGGACACTTGCTCTTTGGAGGTACTCAAACAAAGGCTGCTGCATGAAGCAGGTCTTGTTCTGTTCCACCTGGGAACAGAAACTCTGCCAGCAAAAAGAAAGGGGCAGGATGAAATTAGCCCATCAACTGCTTTTTTTGTGTGTGTGTGGG